ATAATGGAGGACATTTGGACTAGTGATTAAGAAGGGTGGGGCTGGTGCTACCCTAGTTCACCATTAGAACTATTGGAGAAACCTTCCTGAGAAGTTTGTATGAAAGTTTTTACCTGAGGCATTGTGCATGCTAAGATGAAAAAGGATGGTCTTTTCCATCAAGGAGTTGGTAATCTAATGGAGATGAGTGTTAGGAGAGAAGGATAGGTTATGTAGATGAAAAAAATGATATAATGTGATAAAGGCAAATGAGAGATTCAGAGAAAGTATCCTAAGGAAATTTGAGGAGGGAAACCATTCAGCTAGTGGGGATCAGTGGAAGAGTTACAGCTGAACTGGGTCTTGAAGAAGAGAAGGGTTTCAAAAAGCAGACATATGAAGGGAGTTCTCCCAGGTATAATGGACGGCTCATGCTAACAAATGGAGACGAGAGAGGCCGGACGAACTTTGTGAATAGACGGTGGTCCAATTTCACTAGAATGAGTATGTGAAGGGAAACCATGTAAAATCAGGCTGGAAAAGAGGGTTGTAGCCTGGTTGTGGACTGTCTTAAGTATCAGGCAAAGGAGTTTGTATTTTATCTGATATTTGAACAGAAGATGATGTGGTCATGGTTTATGCATTAGGAAGATCCAGGCAGCTAGGAAGAAGAGAGATTGAAGATGAGAGAAAATAGATTCAGGGAGGCCAATTAGGAGGCTATTATATTGTTTTCATAGATCTGTAGACATGTTCTACTCCTGTAGTAGGAAGCAAGTTCTTTGAGGGAAGAGACTGGTTTTTTGTTTTGTGTTTGTGTCTTGAATACCTAGCATATTACCTTCCATGTAGAAGGAATATAAAAAATTCTTGTGTATTACATTACACTGAATTATCAGATCTACCCTGGCTCTTAGGACCTGTACAATATATATATATATATATTTGCATTTTAAATTAAAATATAAAATATTTGCATATTTCCTCTATTGGATTGTGAGCTTCTTGAAGCAGGGGCTATATTTGGATTTCTTTGGAGCCCCAGCACTAGTGCCATTTTTTTGGGGGGGGGGTGAGGCAATGGGGTCAAGTGACTTGCCCAAGGTCACACAGCTAGTGTCAAATGTCTGAGGCCAGATTTGAACTCAGGTCTTCCTGAATCCAGGGCTGGTGCTCTATCCACTGCACCATCTAGCTGCCCCTACTAGCGCCATTTTGTCCAAGGAAGAAGTCTTCTTTCCTTCCATAAAGATTTTAAAATAATCTAGATCCTTCCATTTTGGTACATAAACTTCTAGCTTAGAGATCCCTTCTCAACCCATCAATTTGGGGGGACAAGGTCTTTGGGGGGACAATGCTGCTTTCAAAAAAGAAAAAATGTTTCTTTTGGCTACTGTCTGAAGCTGCATCCAGGCCTGAATGGACTCTTGGTATGACCAGAGAGAATTCAAATTTTCCGTTTTCCAGGCTATTATGTAGAATATCCATACTTATTCCAACATGATGTACAGTGCTATGAAGACTATTCACATGCCTTTGTCCGAAAGAGTTACCTTAAATTTATCTTCTCTTAGAGGCACCCCTGGCGGCTTCGCCTTGCTCTTCTAGTCTACAGCCTGCTCAGAGACAACTTGGGCCCAAGAGATCTTGCCAGTTTGCTCAGTGTAAGTATTCAAGTGACTTGGATTGTGGGCTTTGAGTTCCATGGAGACAAATAGCACTTGGAACTTGTCATTTCATCACCATGTTCTGGCTTCCCACTTGCACCCCTTTAGCAGCTTACTACCTTCCCTCCTCATGTCATATTCCCTGAATTTGGGTGTAGTGTCTTAAGAAATTGGGAGTTCCCTCATTATCCAAATGAAAGAGAAGGCATACCTCTGGATTTCAGACCCAGCTACAGCCTGTTTACATTTTCTGCCAGAGGAAAGTCAACTCTTGATTACCAACCTTGGATTGAGAAGGCCAATGATGGTAGTGGGGATGGTGACCTGTTTCAGAAGCATTTCTATTTGAACTCCATTCGATAAGAGAAGAGAGCAGGGGAGGGGAAGGTAATTAGCCTTTATTAAGAGCCTACTATGTGTCAGGTACCATGACAGGCACTTTACAAATATTATCTCATTTGATCCTCATGACAACTTAGGAAGGTAGGTGCCATTATGATACACATTTCGTAGTTCAGGAAATTGAGGCAGATAGAGGTTAAGCGATTTGTCTAGGGTCATATAGCTAGTAAGTGTCTGAGGCTAAATTTGAATATCCATCTTACTGATTCCAGGCCCAGTGATGCATCCATCATGCCACCTTGCTACCTCGTGAAAGATAATTTATCTATAGTAAAAGCAATAGTAATATAGTAATGAAATCATAATAGTGAGTCAAAGTGCATATCCCTTTAACATTATAAAGCACTTTGCATAAGTTATCTAATTTGAGTCTTAGAACAATCCTGTTGGGGTTAGAGAGCAGAGATATTATTACTTCCATTTTAAGCCCTAAACTAGAGCTTAGAAAGATCAAGTGATTTGCCAATGGTCATACACTCAGACCAGGCTAGACTCGAACCCTGGTCCTCCTGACTCCAAGGCTAGCACATACCCTACTACCTCATGATCATCATTCACAGTGGACTTCCTCTTGCCCACGCAAGCATGCTTATGGACCACTGATTCCTTCCATCATTTGACCTTTGCCCAGAGATTGCTAATTCACTTTCATTTGAGCCTAAGCCTGAGCGACAATTTGGAGTCAGAAGATGTGAACTTGAATTCCACGTTTGACACTTACTTCCTTTGAGACCCCACTCAGGGCTCCAGCTGATTTTATAATGTTGTGAGTCCAAAGAAGGTGCTGGACTGGCCAGCACTAGCAGAGGGCATTCCCTTGCCCTGACAGTTTCTTATGCCAGCCAGGGGTGCCGTAGTTCACAGAGCGCTGGGCTTGGAGTCAGATAGACCTGTCCAAATCTAGCCTCAGACACTCACTAGCTCTATTACTCATGGCAAATAATTTAACCTCTGTCTGCCTCAGTTTCCTATTTATAAAAAGGGGATCATAATTGTGCCTACCTCGAAGAGTTATTGTGAGGATCAAATGAGATAATCTTTGTAAAGTGCTTAGCACAGTGCCTAGCACATAGTAGGTGCAAAATAAATGTTTGTTTCCTCCCTTCTGTCCAGTGAAACCGTTATTATTTTTATTATTTATTTAGTATAATTTTATTAATATTATTTTTGTTTACCTACATGTGAACATGTTCTCTCTCCTGTTAGAATGAAAGCTCCTTGGCAAGGACTTTGTATCCCAAGCACACATAGTCTACTTGGTGATTCATTAGGTACTTAATAAATGTTTGTGGGTTAATTCATTAGCACCGATAATCAAGAGTTGTCTCTATTTTTAATCTCTTCTTCAGGGTCCATGCTTCCAACCTTTGACCAAAGAACTGCCTCTTATTATCTGGAGGTGTCAAAGAACTGTCAAAAAGTGACCGTGTCACAGCATCGACAGTTTTACCCTGAGAGTCGGGAGAGGTTCCAGAACAGCCAGATCTTGTGCTGTGAAGGCTTCTCCTCGGGGCAGCAGTACTGGGAGGTGAACACTCGGGACTGCACCTCCTGGGCCGTTGGGGTGGCCTCCAGGGACATCATCGCCCACAGGCACCTGCTGGGCAGGACCACGGACTCGTGGTGCATGGAATGGAGTGAGGCCTCTGCCAAACAGTCATCACCAAGGAGAGGCCCACGGTGGTGGGTGTATGGCTTGACCTAGAGGGGAATCAGGTCTCATTTTACTCGGTTGAGAGTGAGGAGAAACTCTTACATCGATTTGAGCTTCCTGTCCCCAGGCCTGTTGTGTTCCCTGCTTTTTGGCTTTATGGCCTACAGCCTGGGAACTCCTTGATTATAAACGAGGTAAGAGATGAAGTACTCTCCTGTTGCTGAAACCAGTGACCAAGCTCATAAGGGTCTTCTTGTCAACCAATTAGCCAGTCAGTCAACAGAGATTTATTAAATGCTTGCCATGTGCCAGGCATTGTGCTAAGAGCTGGGGTACATAGGTCCAGTGGCCAAGTAACTTCTAAATCAACGATTATGTTAATACCCTCTGGTCCTGCAATGTGGGTCAGTGGAAAAGCCACCCAGCTCCAAAGTACTTTGTACCCTCCCTTTCCTTCTCCTTCCTTTTCAGGGTATATTTTGAGAAGGTTGGATCGAGAGTCAGATTTGTATCCTGGCATTGCTTAAAACCTTATGTGACTGGGGACCAATGATTTTTTTCTCTTTGGGCTTCAGTTTCTTGATCTATGAAGAGACCATAGATATATGGTCACAGGATATGAATAGTTTGTTTAAACATTCTTTTTTATTTTTTAAATAATATTTTATTTTTTTCCAATTACATGTAAAGGCATTTTTTAACCTTCATTTTTATAAAATTTTGACTTCCAGATTTTCTCTTTCTCTCCTTCCCCTTCCCCTCCCTAAGAGAGTAAGCAGTTTGATATAGGTTATATATGTGCGATCATGTAAAATATATTTCCATATTAGTCATGTTGTAAAAGAAAAAAAAACACTTCCAAAATTACAGTTTGCAAAAGGAAAAAAACACACAAAAAAAGTGAAAATAACATGCTTTGATTTGCATTTAGATTATATCAGTTCTTCCTCTCGATGTGGATAGCAATTTTCCATCACGAGTCTTTTGGGATTGTCTTGGATCATTGTAATACTGAGAAGAGCTAAGTCATTCATAGTTAATTACCAAAGGCCATCATCTTATTTGTTGATCATCAATGTTACTGTTATTGTGTACAATGTTCTCCTGGTTCTGCTCACTTCTTTTCACATCAGTTCATGTAAGTGTTTCCAGAAAACATTCTTTTTTATGGACCCCAGTTTCCTCATCTGTGAAGTGAGGGGATTAAACAGCCAACAGATAAATAGTCAAAGGATATGAAGTTGTCCTTAAAAAGTTGTTTATAAGTATAATATCTGATGCTGAGACCATATCTGACAATGGACACAATATTCTGTCCTAAGTAGCCCTATACCGCTCTGCCAGGAAGCACCTTTTATTAATTAGGGAGGGGTATATTCAGAAATGAAGGTCAGGTAAAAATTATTGTTCTTTAGTTGTTCAGTCATGTCCTACTTTTCATTACCCCATGGACCATAGCATGCCAATCCCTTCTCTCTTCCATTGTTTCTTGAAGTTTGTCCAAGTTCATGTTCATTGTTTTCACGATGTCGTCCATCCAACTCATCTTTTGCCATCCTCTTTTTCTTTTGCCTTCAATCTTTCTCAACATCAGGGTCTCTTCTACTGAGCCCCATGTTCCCATTATGTGAGCAAATTATTTAAGCTTCAGCTTCAATATTTGACCTTCCATTGAATAGCCTGAATTAATTTAAGCACTAAGATTTGACCTCTATGATATCCAAGGAATTCTCAAAAGTCTTTTCCAGCACCACAATTCGAAAGCATTGATTTTGTGGTGCTCCGCTTTCTTTATAGTCCCAATTGTCACAGCCATACGTTGCTACTGGAAGAACCATAGCTTTGACCATGCAGACCTTTGTCAGCAAGGTGACGTCTCTGCTTCTTAGTATGTTGTCCAGAGTTGCCATAGCTTTCCTTCCAAGGAGCAAGTATCTTTTAATTTCATGGCTGCAGTTGTTGTCTGCAGTGATCTTTGAGCTCAAGAATATAAAATCTGACACTGCTTCCATTTCTTCTCTATTTGCCAGGAAGTGATGGGACCAGTTGCCAAGATCTTAGCTTTTTTATGTTAATTTTGAAGCCAGCTTTTATACTCTCCTCTTTCACTCTCATCAAGAAGCTTCTTAATTCCTCTTTATTTTCTGCCATCAGAGTGGTATTGCCTGCATCGAAGGTTATTGATATTTCTCCTGGCAACCTTAATTCTGACTTTTGTTCATCCAGCCTGGCATTTTGCACGATGTACTCTGCATATAAGTTAAATAAATAAGGTGACAATACATAGCCTTGAAGTTCTCCTTTTCCAACCTTAAACCAATCGGTGGTTCCACCTTTGGTTCTAACTATTGCTTTTTGGCTCCCACATAGATTCCTCAGGAGACAAGTAAGATGATCTGGCACTCCCATCTCTTGGAGGACTTGCCACATTTCATTGTGATCCATAGTCAAATGCTTAGGTAAAAAAGGCTTTAGATAAAAATAAAGGAAACCAATATAATTTATGCCAAGTAAAGAAAGCAGAATTAGGAACTCATTATACACAATGACTATAATAATGTGTATGAAAATTACACTTAAGGCAAAAGAATTCAGATGATTAATGGTGGTGCTGAAGGACAGAGAATGTATATTTACCTCCTGAGTCTCAATAGAGACTTGGAGGACTGAAGAGGCAGTTAGACGTGGTCACTGTCACTTATTTTTGCTTAACTGTTTTTCTTTGTTTCAGGAGTAGCTTCTATGTGCACATATATTGGGAAACAATTATAATATTTTAAGAAGGTATAAAAACCTTTTAAAATATGATGATGAATGGTATTTATATAGTCCTTTCAACTATACTATCTCATTTGAGTCACTACAATCCCATGAGGTATTGGTGGAATTCAGAACTGTACCCCAGCAATTTTTGTGCCAAAGACAAATAGCACAAACCATACCCTCATTTCAACTGGAGAAGTGTGTTGGAGACCTGGGAGACATCGCAGGTGTGCTTTGAGAGAGGTTACCTCAGTGGAGGAAGAGAAGTGGGTGGGATGTGCTGGAATCAGGTTATAAGGATGAGAGTTGATAGGTGAGTTTTCAGTATCAGCATTTACACCAAAGACTGTACATCAAGGCTTGATTTATTGTTTTGTTGATTTTCTTTGCTTTAGAAAGTGATGGATAAACTGTTCATAATGCAGATTAAACTTAAAAGTGTATGGAACATCAATATAAATAAATATACATGTAGATGTGTGTGTATATATAGATATTTATATGTGTATATATACATATATGTATATTTATAAACATACACATATACATACATATGCATATCTATCTATATCTATATAGTTAAACATTTACCAGCACACCCCTGGAAGGTGGCCAGACTGCTATAGAGAGGAGTTTTCTTGGGCTATGTCCAAGAAGATAGGGAGCTGCTGCCAATCGGTAGCTTCATTTTTAATTAATTGGGCCCATGTTTGTCATTCTTGGTTCTTTCCAAATTCACATGTCATATTTTCTTAAGTAGGATCTAAGTTTAGCTGTTCCTGTACTGCTAAAGGATGGATAGTGTTGTGAGTTCCTCCTCACAATTTCAGGACCTGGGGACAAAGCATTAGTCATTCTGCTTTAGTTTCAGCCCTGGCCAGATTTGAACAAAGGTCTTTCTGATTCCAACCTCAGCATTGTAGTGATTATTCCAGACTGCCTTTTTATCTCAGAGAACCCAAAAAATGAGAGAATGAAAACCACAGGTATAAACTGGAATGATGCTGGATTCCAGCTTCTTATTTTCTTTTATTTCTTTTCTTTTCTTTTCTTTTCTTTTAAGAGTTTTCTCTCTTTTTTTTTTACCCCAAAGAGGTTTCTGCCAATGCTTCACTTTCTTCCTGCTAGTCCCACACTGAAGTTACAGTTATTACTGGCAAGGCATCATCCCCCGTTATTGCAGAATTTGATGGGTTCCTGGGAGGAACTATGATAGGAATGCAGAAATAATCATTTGGAAAGGAATAGCAATAATTCTAACAGCCTGAATCTGACTCATGCTTTTCTCACCTCAGCTACACTGCCACAGATTCTGCAAAAGGTCCAAGTGTGAGTATTTTAAAAAGCCATGTTTCTCTGAAAAGGCCTCCAGCATATTGAGTAGACTCCCTGTGGAGGATTTATGGGAGGTCATGTTTAAAAATTAAGGTAAACTGAGAGATGAAGATATGAGCATGATCAATTTATTAGTTAGTAGCAGTAACCAATAAATTAGGTCAATGGACTCAATGACCAAAGACCCCAAGCGGGACCGACTGGATCTTTTCCACCTGGGTGTTCTTCCTTATGATTGGCCTGATAGTACATCATTTGGACCTCCCTGGCAAAGGTAAGACAATCCCAATTGGTAGACACTTTAACAAGGAGGTGGGTTAAGAGCCTCAGCTCCTTCCTATTACTTTCTTGTGGGGAGATGGGAGTAATCCTCAGGTGACAGCTTTGATTAATGCAACTTGAATTTGAGTTAAGTAGGTGATGAGTACTGCTAACGGATAGGGACCACGGCCTGGAATCGGGAAGATTCAACTTTTTGACTAATCGTGGTGCTGAGTTCAAATGTAGCCTTACAGACATTAGCTGTGTGACTTAGCAAGTCACTTTAAAAAAAAATCTCTGTTTTTCTCACTTTCCTCAACTGTAAAATTGGGACCCTGGAGAAGAAAATGGCAAACTATTCCAGGAACTTTTCGAAGAAAACTCCATAGGGGTCATGAAGGGTCTGACTGGATGGAAGGACTTAACAACCAGGGTACAGGGTTGCTGTCTGTCCTTTGTTCTCAAAGAGGTCTATAACATCAGGGAGGTGATGCCATGACATTCAAGTGAATTGGAATTTAGTGAGTGAGGGCCGTGCAAAGTCATCAGCCTCTCTTTCCCCTCTGGAGTCATCTGGGTCCAGTGTCCAGATATAGATCAGGATGACTGGAGGTGGCTCAGGAAGAGGTAGAGGGTAAGGTCACAAAAGTAGACCATATAACTGTAGAGGTTCCATTGAGTGGAGGTAACTACAAGACAAAAGCTTGACCTTTAGGCAGGTTTCTCAAGAATGTAGGTGAAGGGTGAAGTTACTAGAGTAGGGAGTGTGGATTTACAAGGCAATGGGAGAGTATTAAAACCTATTCCCGCTTGACTATGTTTTAAACATGGAATTAAAATAATTCAGTTTTACAGAGGAGATGGACAAGAATGGCACAGGATGAAAAAGATGTAGATGGGTGTTACCTGCACCATTGGAGGGAGAGATTCTGTCTGAAACAGAGTCCTCTGTTTGCCATTTAAAACCCTTCACAACCTGGTGCCTTCCTACCTTTTCAGTCTTCTTTCTCCTCTGCACATATTTTACAATCCAATGAACTGGCCTGCTGGCTTGTTCTTCACACTGGTTCCAAGTATTTTTCTTTGTCTCACATGCCTCTCATGCTTTATCTCCTTATCTCCACCTCCTAGTTTCTCCAATTTCCTTCAAGTGTCAGTTAAAATCTCACTTTCTGCAAGGTTTTCCTAGTCCTCCCTAGTGCTGGTGCTTTCCCTCTGAAATTTTCTCCAGCTTATTTCATGTATGTATGTTGTTTG